GCATGGACTTTGTGACATTAATTTAGCTTCTCAGATACATTTTATTTGTTTTCTGGTTTCTGTTTTTGTTCCTGATAGCTGAGGTTGTTGAATAAATTAGCTTTAGCTAATCCTGTTAGCAGCTAACCACATCTACCTTTCATTAAAAGAGGTATAAAACTTCCATTCAGACAAGAAAGGTTTGATTCAGTGGTGTCTACAAATCTAGCACCATGTATCCATATACAACAGATGTAGCCAGCCATGAACCTTTCATTTAGACTTCTGGGGAGTCTAAACTTACCTCTCACATTCTGAGCCTTGAAAGCTATGTCTTGTTGTCTCCTCCCTACTCCCATCGCCACTCCAATCCATCTCCATGTTCGAATTATCCAGCTCCACGAGAAACTTTAAAATCTCAGGCTCCTTTCTTCGTGCAGGGATCTCCCTCCTTAATATTGTCTCGCTTGTACTCCACACTCACCATTCTGGCCTAAGCCTCTTACCTCTGCTCCTGCAGACTGATGCTCATCTAGCTCACAGGTATTCCTCCTCCTACTCACCCTCCCTTCTCCTTTCTGTTGAGGCTGGAGTATCTCCTGCCCCATCAAGAGTAACTTTTCTTTTCTCTATTCCCTCCACACCCAGAGATCTCCATTATGACCAGTGTTCCTTGCCACCCGGATCTCGCCTCTCTCACTCATGCCCTGAGTCCCAGGATGAGGTGAGAACAGGATGGGTCAGCATCCTGGTTTTTGCATGTGAGTGGCCACCCTCTCTGAATCTCAAGAAAAACCCTCTTATACTCATCATTTCATTCTCTTAACAGTGCTACACCTATTAGTTACATCACAAAATCAAGTAGTTTATTAGTTTTCTAATAAGCCCGCATGCATTTATCTTGTCTCCCTAGCTGTGAGCTCCCTGAAGGCACACAATTTCCTCCTTATCTGATATCCCCTTATAACACACTAATCAGGGTGTGGAGTGGAGTTATCAGTGGTTATGGAACAGAGCAGTGATAACAGCCTGGTGGCCATCAGAAACCCATGATTTTGGCCTTGATATGGTGCTCTGGGCCCAACAGCCTGCCAACAACTAACTGAAACTTGATAGACGTATTTCTTGAGAGCGGTTTCTCGAATTGTCTGTATGAATTGTAGGGCCAAAGTTGTTTAAGGTCAGAAAAAAAGGGAAATATCTGGTGTGTTTGAATTACTATCCCTGATTACTCTATTTTGATATATTAGAGATACAGCCATAGACTAGGAGTATATTTTGGATTACAAATTCCAAAACTCTTAAAATAATGGTAAGGTAGAAGAGACTATGAAATTATCTTGAGCTGGGTATATCTATATACTTTATATTAGAAAAATCTATTTTGATGGCTGATAATATCTGGATGTCATTAACTAATTATGTATAAATTAATTTCTCTTCTGCTGCCAAAGTCAGGCTCTTGTCTGGGGAAGGGGAGTGGGTAAATGAAGAGGCTGGGGATTGAGGACCATGATGTCATAGAAGACGATACACTCACAGCGAGCTCTAGGCTGTAACTGTGAATCATGTTAACTATCAAGTACAATATCTGCTTTTCTCCAGTCTATTCATATTTTACACAGAGTAATTATAATTAATAGACTTTCTTTGTTTAAACATATTTTGAATTGTAAAATGTATAATGAATTAGACTAAATTTTTTAACTGGAAAGAACATTAGGAAAAAGAAACCGTGATGTTAAGCCAATGGAACGGCCACTTGAGAAATGCTCGGATATCAGCAAATTCACGTGGCTCAATCTAATAACGTTTTTTATGATTCCATGTGCTTTCATTTTTCTCTCTCACTCTTCTATAATTTGACTTTACAGAATGTGAAGCTGTGAGGGGTCAGCTCTCCTAGCACAGAGCTCTTTCCTCATGCCACACTGTCTTAAAGCAGAATGACTTACGAAGCACAGGAAGGCATCTGAATGTGCTCATTAATTATATGGTGTCTACTCAGCGAAAATGAATTGTAAAATGACAGAAAAGTCATGTGAATATGTTTTAATTAACATCATCCCTTAATGCACACATCTCCATGTAATTCAAATAACACGCTCATAATACCATAGCAGAACAAGAAGAGAGTAGTGGGTAAAAAGAGTTACAGCAAAAGAGAGAGAGAGCACTTATCTGACGAATTCTGGGCTTGAGGGAGATCGGGAAAGGTCTATATCTTTTGCTATTTTACATCTCTTTTGATATTTGCTATTGGGTTAGATCAAACCCAGTAACCGCTATACTGTGGGGGCTCATTTTTTTTCTTTTACTTTGATTTTCCAGGTTGTACACTGTCATTAAAGCTGTAAATAAATTTGCTCCAGTGAGGACATATTCTAATGATCTTGTAAATGACAGATAAGTCAATGTTATAAACCCATTTTCTCCAGTGCTCTGTAAACTCAAAGCTAAGAATGCTACTATCACAAAGAGACAAAAACATAACTTGTCTTGTCTGCATCTGATGTTGGCAATGATTTCAGTTTAGAATTAGCCATTCTTATTTCTTTTAGGAAGTATCATCGACCACTTGTTCTTTTTAACTAGTATGAATGAAACAGTATATATAGTAATTTGTTTGATTGAGGTCTATGTGCATTTTTCTTTTACTGAAAAAGGATTTTGATTTTATAGTACTAGATACAAATGAGTTCTGTAGCGAAAAGAAAATGTCACATTCCAGCTAGTCATTTGTGGAGAGAGGAGACATCCCAGGCGCAGCCCTCTGCAGTGTTTTTGGCTTTTAACTGGTTGGGCTTACAAATCCTTCCTCCTTCTTGCCTTAGGAATTCATTCTTCTGTGCACTGCGCTGTTGCTGTATACCTCTCAGGAACTAGAAATATTAACCCCTCCTCTCCCCACAAATAACCCTTCTAGAATTTCACAGCCAGAAAAGAGTTTTCTAACCCTGTGACTAGACATTAACTTAATTCTCATTGCCCTTCTGCAGGATATCTATATCAATATCTATTTGTACTTTTTATATCCGTTTGAATATTTGTTTTCTGAATTTGGAGAGAAAAATCTTTCTCTTGCTACCTCTGTCATGGATGAAGGCAACTACCCAACTTTGTCTCAAGCTATGGCATGCTTCTCTACCCAGCCTGGCATTCTAACATATCAGAGATTTGAGATTAAGTGGTTACATTTTTTTTTTTTTCAGATTTTGAGATTCAGAATAATTTCTTTGACATTCACATGAGAACAACACTAGCTATGTCCTTTACTAAACAGCATTTACCAAGGGTCAAGGAGTTACACTGTTAGTTTATTCTTGGCTGTTTTTCATGGAAATTGATACAATTATTGAACAGGTGAATTTTCGAGCTGGGGGATCTCAGATATAATATGAATCACAGTTCACTTTACACATAATGAATGTGAGTCGCATAGACATGGCATAAAATGCTTAAGATCAAAGGGCCACTTATGCCGTCCAAAAAACATTGACTTCCATAATAAAGTGGTAAAGAAAAATTTAGATGATTTTATGTGTCTTTTTGTTTCAGTGTTTTAACTCAAAAGACCAAGTGCTGGCTTGATCTTCTCCTGCAGGGAATGGACGGACCTACTGGATGGGTATTTCCACTGTGACACTGCCACAGGTTGGAGCAACACGTAGTCTTTTCAGGAAATTAGCACTTTTGAAAACTTGAGTTTTCATGATTTTGCTAGTTAGTTTAAAATATTTCTGAGAATTGGGGCTGGCCCTATGGCCGAGTGGTTAAGTTCTCGCGCTCCGCTGCAGGCGGCCCAGTGTTTCGTTGGTTCGAATCCTGGGCGAGGACATGGCACTGCTCGTCAAGCCATGCTGAGGCAGCATCCCACATACTGCAACTAGAAGGACCCACAACGAAGAATATATGACTATGTACCGGGGGACTTTGGGGAGAAAAAGGAGAAAATAAAATCTTAAAAAAAAAAAAAATTTCTGAGAATAAAATGTGAAGGCAATTTTGCTATATATATATTGGCTTATATAGGGTTTCTACTTTTCTAGGACTTTGAGAGTTCAGTAAATAGGAGATGGAAGATCTCCTCAGAGCTGAGAGAAGCAGGGCCCTAGCATTCTTGTAACTGTTTGCATAGCCAGTGACTAGAAGATTCCTTTCCCTCATGCCCTATGTTCTCAGTGTCCCTAAATCTTCACTATATTATGTTGAACCATTTCATAATTGCTCCAAATGGTCAAATATCTACAATGTCAGATAGTACCACACCTAGTTATATAGTGGGAAATTTCTGGGGTCGCAAGGCAAAATATTGAATCTTACATAAATTGAAGACATTTAAGAGCCTTTTCCTGTGATGTAGAAAATGATTAAGCAGAAGTGAGTTAAGAGAGAAGGACGAAGAAAGCAATGTGGGCGAGGTCATACCAAGCATTGACTTAACTGTCGACTGGAGCGATCCTTTGCTACATGCAGAGCTTTAAGTCAGAGAAAAAATCTTTTCCCATCAGACCAAACATTTAAAAAAGTCACCTTATATACAGCTAAACTTTTGTTCAAACATCTGAGCAAGGGGAGTAGAGCGCTAGAACCACATGTTTCACAGTATTCAAACAGTAATAAGCTTACTTCCGAAAAATTAAATACAGACCGGTCCCTTCCCCCTCATCTAAAGTCACATCAATAGATGCCCTGTTTCGGTACTTCATTACTCTTACTTATATTTGATAACTATGCATAGATTCTTTTATATATCAATTCTTCTTACATAGCAAATAACACCATTCATTTAAACAAAAATATGCAGAATACCTACCATGTGTCAGGTACTCGGGAAATAGGATTCTATAAGACTGAATTGGTTTCTGACCTGCCTATCAACCCCAAAACAATACAGGCAAATAAGAAATGTGAGAAGGACTTATTTCCAATCATTGAATTCAAGTCATTGAACTTAGTAACATGGTTACACATTCGTTTCACTGTTGACATTCGAAAGCATTGCTTTTTATCTGTCTTACCTGAAGGATCTTATCGCCAGGCTGCAGCAGGTTGGATGCTGGTCCGTCAGGCTGAACCCTAGTAACAAAGATACCCTATAAGTCAGAAGTAACAGAGGTTAGGATTCTATTATCGAGAACTAGGCCTCCTTAAAACATTTTTCATTCACACAGAAAACAGTGAAAACAGATTAAAAATAATATACATATGTAAGCTTCAAAGGTTAATATACTATTTTAAGCAAGGCAACACTCTAAACCAAGTTTAAGAAAAGAACATATTTACTTACATTAAAAAAGCTCGTCTTGTTTTTAAAGTGCACTTATGATTTATAAATTAATCTCAGGGCATATCCTTAATTTCTTTCTTAAATAATTTGAACTATGGTACTAAACTGTCTTTTGTACAACTTCTGAAATTATCTTAAGTAATTATTCTTCATTGAAAATGTCTCCTATTTGATAGGTTGCAAATTCAATGTACACTTTAAAAACCTTACTAGAATTACATATAAATACTTGTTTATTTTAATGAGTATTACTTTGTATGTACTGAGAATTTTAATACAAAATATACATGAACAAATTAAACATAGGAAAATTCAATGTGCATTTTAACTATAAAGTTTATGACCACACAGTTACAAAATCCCTAAGGTGATTAATTTAGTTTATTAAAAAATCAAATTAATTTTGCTGCTCATGTATATAAAGCAAACATTTATCGAAAGTCTCCCATATGCCAGGTCTTGATCGCTAGTGTTACAGAGATACACAGAATATAATTCCTGGCTTCAATGAGCTCACAATATAGTGGAAGAAAAGTCAAGAAAATCAACGATTATAAACCAGTGTGACAAGTGTTATGATAGAGATATAACAGATTATTTAAAAAGGTATAACAGATCATTTAAAAAGTCTGGGTTTCCAGGAGGAGAAGACACCTGGAGCTGAATCATAAAGGACAAGTAAAAGGTGGCCGCACAGATAAGGGGAGGAAGGGTAGCCCAGATGGAAGGGAGAGCACACACGAGAGCAGGAGCACCTGTCACACTCAGGAAACTGTGAGTAGTTCTATGATGACTGCAGGGGTGGGGGAAGTGTGTGAGTGGATGCGGTTGGGAGCGTGGGAGAAGATCAGCCAAAATGTAGGTTGGGGCCAGATCAAGACGGGCCTTTAATAGCCATGTTCATCAGTTTGGGGAGCTACTGAAGTATTTTAAGCATGATGATGACAAGATTCTAATTAATATCCTAAGAATGAACTGATCAATGGATAAACAAAATGTGTATATCTACTCCGTGGAATATTATCTGGCAATAGAAAAGAATGAAATACTGACAACATTGATGGACCTTGAAAACATTATGCTAAGTGAAAGAAGCCAGTCCCCAAAAGGCCCCATACTGTATGATTCCACTTACATGAAATCTCAAGAAGAGGCAGATGCACAGAAATGGAAAGCAGATTGGCGTTTGGTAGGGGCTGGGGAGCAGGGAGAGGAAACGACTGTTAATGTGTACAGAGTTTCTTTCTGGGGTAAAGTGTTCTGATTTTAGATCATGGTGATGATTGCACAACACTGTGAACATACTAAAACCCACTTAACTGTATACTTTAAAAGGATGAATTTTACGGTATGTGAATTCTATCTCAATATAGCTGTCACTATTTTTTAATTCTAAGAAGTATAATAGAACAGAAGATAATATTTTTATGTTTTTGCCTGTCATTTAGAAAATCATCTCATTTGCTGATCTGTAAACTTAATGACTCTCACTTACACCCATAACTTTGTGTGTGTGTGTGTAAATGGTTTAACAAACAGACCCGAATTAAAATACTTCTTTGTGAATTTTCATTTAGCATTTCAGATCTTTATGAAACTTATTAATTTAAGGCTTTTGAATAATTTTAATTTTTCTCATTTTAATCTGTTTTCCTTCCCATTTAAAGATGACACTATGGACAGGCATCAAAATCCTTAGAGCACTGCATAACTTTTAACCAGTAATTTGACTTCTAGAACTTATCGTAAGGAACTAAGTGGACAAGTATACAACATACATTTATTTAATATGCTCATCATATTATTTTTAATAATAAAAATTACAAACCACACTTAAATGTCTAATAACAGAGGATTGATTAAATAAATTATGGTAAATCCATACAATAGAACGATATGTGGTCATTAAAACTAAAGTCCTAGATGGTGGATATACAGGTACGCCAGTGCTTAGTGAGACAAGCAGGTCCTAAAACGTTATGTGTGGTAGGATACTATTTTTGCTGAAACATGTTTATATGCATATCTGTGTGAGAAAATATCTGGAAGGACATACTCCTACCACTAACAGTGGTTGTACTGGGTGAGACATTATATATATGTATTTTTTTTTCTTTTTGCATATCTATGTTTTCTAATTTTTCTACAATGATTACATACTACTTAGAGCATTAAGAAAATAACAATAAAAACTTTAAAAAGTCTTTAGGTTAATGGCTTCACTTTCAGAGTGATGCTTAAACAGCTGTTTACTTTGGTCAATTCAGTTGTACAAATGGTCAATTAACAAGGAAAAAGAAAACGGGTTGTTTGAGAAGAACAGTTGAATAGGGCACAATGATTAATCCACCAGACCAGTGAATCGCACTGGTTGTGGAGACAAATATAATCCCTACAGTCCTGTTCACACTGGGCCCAGAACTCTCATTCTCCATCAATCCAGGAGACTGTACGTGCAATGAGTCCCTCGGTCGCCCCGCTCTTTGCTATTGGGGTCTCTGTACAACAGGTGGAATGACACTATTGCCCCAAATAAGCCACTCCATCCCTGGCTGCTGAAGGTGAAGTTGTTCTGACTATTATTTTATCCCAGCAGTCAAAGTCTGTGCTACTTAGTTAATTTTAATTGCCTTTCTTCAGCTCATTGTACAGGAACAATTTCAATAACGTTTGTGTGAATCCAGACCATAAGAACTAAATTATGGTCATCATATCTGCAATGCTGGGAGGAACTAGCAACACTCCACAACCTGACTGCTGAAAGAATACAAATGTGGTGTCTGTGGCAGGTTTAATTTCATCCATCACAAAGCTCCGTGGGATTCAACCGCTGTTCTGAAGACTTGCTTTGAAATTACTCTTACGGTGGCCTGAGTCTTCCCAAGCATTTATTGCTGTTTTCTAAAGCTTTAATATTTTCTTCAATCAATAAATTTCATCAACTAAGAAACTGCTACTGTTCATTGGTATAGTTTTCTTTTTCTCTCTATATCCTACCAGCCAGCATACTGCCACATTAGTTGAAACAGATAGCAATGAGTATAATGTTTGATAATAGTCTGTGGCATTCATTATTTGTGGAGGTGGAATGTTTCCCAAAAGACTGCCCGCAAAGGCCAGTGACCTAGTTTTTCACTTTGTTTATGTATATAAACACTGCCATATGAAAGAGATCAAATAACTCTGAACCCATTTTGTGGTCTCTGTTATGATGAATATTGATGAGAAATATCAAAACTTTGACATTGTTTTGAAAAAGCTCATGGTAGCTATGTGTCGTTCTTTCAACAAATTCATTTTATTCTGAGACTTGAAAGAATACTTTGGCACTAATGACAGAATTTGGTAGGGAATCATCAGACTATTCATACTCTGAAAATTAGAACACTAACTTCCTACTGTTTGGTAAAAAGCCATTTCCTAACTTCAAAACAGCAGTAAGCCATCTTGTACGGCGATCAAAGATCCAAATCATGGCATCTGATCAATTTTATAACTCCGCTGGCAAGATCTAAAATATGTTCAGTTTCCTGTAACATTTGGTAGAGTGCTAAATGTGGGACAAACTAGCATGGAATACATTCAAAACTAGTGAAACGACCTAAATACCTAAGGCTATAGCAAAACCATTTTGCTCAAGGAAGGAAAATACCTCAGTAACTCTTTTTCAATGAGGTATTAGCTTTTTGCTGCTGCTGTAACAAGTTACCACAAACTTAGTGGCTTAAAACATCACAAATTCATGATCTTACATTTCTGTAGATTAGAAGTCCAACACATGTTTCACTGGGCTAAAACAAAGTTCTAGGCAGGGCTGCATAATTTTCTGGACTCTCTAGGGGAGAATCTGTATCCTTGCCTTTTCCAGCTTCTAGGAAATGTCCACATTCCTTGGCTCATGGTCCCCTTCTTCCATCTTCAAAGCCAGTAGTTGTGCACCTCTCTGACTTTTCTTCTGTATTCACATCTCCCTCTGACCACAGCCGAGAAAGAGTCTGTTTTTAAGGACCTATGTGATTAGATTGGGTCCACCTGGATCCAGGATAATCTCCTCATTTCAAGATCCATAATTTAATCTCACCTGCAAAGTCTCTTTTGCCATTTAATGTAACATATTCACAGGTTCTAGGAATTGGGATGTGGCTGTATTTGGGAGGCTGTTTTTCCTGCCTTCCATATAGTGTAAGAAGTGGATCAGAGCACAGCCCTGGAGTTAGCCTGTCTATGGTCCACCATTTATAAATTGGTGACCTTGGGAAAGTTAATTAACTTTTGTGTGCTTAACTCCTCCTCATCAGTCAAATGAGTATAATAATGGTACATACCTTGTAGTTATTAGATTAAGTGAGTGAATACATACAATATACTTAGAACAATGGCTGACACTCACTGTAGGATCAATAAATGTTATTATAATTATTGAAAGTCTGAAGGTTGAGCTATAATCCAAGGTCTTTTTATCCAGCAAAGTCCCACTGAGAGGTTCTGAGTCTCCAAGTGAACCAGGTTTGTTATCAGGAAATTCTTCTTTACTCTCAATCTGGAGTAGATGGAAAGGCCAACATTTGTTTTCTTTCACTTGAATTCCCAATAGATAAGAGGATTTGCATTTCTTCTTTAGGGAGGGGATGAGAAGAGGGTTGTAAAGTCTCTCCTTTCTCATCCGTGGTTTTCTAGTGGTGGCTCTCAGTGACAATGGCTCCAATTATTGTTCACTCAGTAGACATGGGTCTCAACTAGAGGGCTTTCTGATGGTTCTTAGTAACTCTCAGGGGCTACTTCCTTTGGTGGCATCAAGTCAGGAGC